AGTCTGAAAAACACCAGCAGAGACAGTCCATCTAAGAGTGGAATGCAATGTGGCCTATTATATTGCCCAGGCAGAGACAATAATAATTTTCAGGGCATTCTACCCTGTCACTTTCACTAGAACTATATGGCAAAGCCCAAACAGTAATTTTTTTGTTTTGTTTTTTTTTAAAGAGGGAGGAAAGGAAGCAGCTTCAGCAATTTTGTTCCACAAAGCATAGCCTGACAAGCTATTCAAGATGTATTGCGAGAGCTCAAAGACAAGATCATTATCTTTTAATGATCTTTACCTTTTCATGTAGGTCATGGAAGTCACTGTAACGATGTTTCACTGTCCACTGATGACTTCCAACACTGACTTGAATAATATATACCTAAAGAAAACAAAAAGCAAAGCAGGGTGGGTAAAAATCAATTATTTTTTCAATTAAAAAAAGTCATATGTTTTAAACAGATTTTCTTGATATATTCATTTTTGCTAAGATGCTTTTTTTTAAAAGTAAACCTATATATAGTTTTAATTTAAAATATGTTAAAGCTCAAATATATCATCACAGAATAGATATTATAACTTCTATTTATATACAGTTTGAGACAATATATTCAACACTGTGATGTTCAGTTCCAGTTCTCAAATTGTGGATTTGTTTCTCCAGAGACAACATCCTTGTTAACAGCAGTATATAGAGATGAGAGATAACAGACCTGATTATCTACCCATCAGTCCTGTCGTCTCTCTGCAAGTTTATGTACACAGAGTCAAGTCCTTACCTGTCTCTAAAAGTGCAAAGTTTCAAGAAGTTAAATGAATAAAGGATATCAAACAACAAGAATGTACTTTTTGTAGGAAACAATGATTAAATTGAGGCTTCCTGACCAGGGATTTAAATAATGATTTAAATTGATTTGATTTAAATCAAATTCACTCTAGAGCAAAATAAGGTATTTGGGAAGTATTAATTTTAAAAAATATATTACTATGCAATGTTAATGTAACAACATAAAATGATCTTGTATTAACAATGGCATGTTTATGTTAAATGTGATTTAAAACAGTGATTCTCCACTTTTTAAACTCAAGGAACCCCTCAAAAATGCAGCTCTTCATTTTAGTTTGTTTTTTTCACTACAGTAAAAGAGTGGAGCAATTCTTCTGTTGTAAAGAACTCTGAAAGACCACAATCAGTGAGAATGTTCTTAACACTATGAAGTTCCATTGGAAATTAAGGCTGTACAAAATTTTGCCAGCTGTTTCATTTTGACGCTGGTTCAACTCATTTCGAGATCAAAACAGCAAAATCGAACGAAACGAAGGCCTTCCAAACAGCCTCGAAACAAAACGAGGGCAACTGAAACATTTCAAAAGTTTCGAAACGTTTCAAGTTTCAAAGCTGAAGCAAGCTGGGCTTGCCCGCAGGGAAACAAAGTAAGAGAAGTACTTCATCAACCTCCTAGGTACAGAGACTCATGGACTCAATACAGACATTGGAATTGTGACACACTACAACCTGCTGGACATCTGACTCCTCAGGTACCGCTCCACTTTTACCTGCGCTGCTACATCCCCCTTCCCT